CAAGATTCGACACAAGGAAATCCACCTATATAACATAGCCCCTAATTTACATGTACTGGATTTATGCTTCTGAAAAATGACATACAAACTTAGGTATCATTTCCTGGGTTTACAGGACTACTGTGAGTCTAATTCTTTAAGATAATTAGTACTGAATTATAACAAGAACCTAACTTGATCAATTTTACCCCATCACCAGTTTTAGGCACTTTCTTTTCCCCATTACACAGACATGATCAACGACATGTGAGGACAACAAATTATCCACAGATGAAGGACAGCAGGGGAAACAGTAACACCATTTACAGTAAGAACAAAACCAAGAAATGAGGAAAGGTTTGAATACCAGACTATGAGAGTAAGACTGGATAAGCAATCTTATCAGAATGTAAATTTTAACAAAAAATGGAAAATAAATGTGGCTAGTGGGAGGAAGTAGATGTTATGCTATTACACGCTACAGACAACAACCTAGATGAAAAATAATGAGTAAAAATCAAAGCAATAGAAAAAAGACATATACAACAAAGAGCAGAAAAATAATGAACAGCAAGGGATAATCAGGAGGAAGAGCAACCAGGAGCCAGGAGAGACGGCTGCAGGATTAAGTGTGTCACTGCATCACTTGTAACTTCCGTCTCCCGTCTATAAATGGGGATAGCCACAATGAACTAAAGACTAAACGCCATCAAAATCAGCAAGTGAGACCAATGTAAAAGAGAGCAGTTATCACCAAGCACTGAATTATACTAACATTCAGAATATAATGCACATTGGCTTGTTAATTTTGTGTGTGGTGTGGGATGCTGAGAATTGATCCTGGGCCTTGTACATGTTAGACAAGAGTTCTACCACTAAGTTATATCCCCAAATCCCACATTCAGAATCATTAAAAAATTAACAAAATGTGTAAAATGACTTTTGGGGATAAGATTTTTCACATTCTTAACAACTAAAAAAAGATAATAATAAAGACAGATAGAGGATCATGGATTTAATTAAAAGATGTGTCTGGCCTACTTTTAACCCAAGAAGTAGCTAAGTAAAATTACCAACTTTGGAGCAGGGCACCTCCAGTGTTTGCTTCTAGCCACTCAGCACTATCACACTGCAGCTGACTTCCACGTCAACTATGCATCAAGAGCTGAGACTCTAGAATTCTTCTACTCAGACTCAGATGTGAAAAACCACTCTAAAGATCTACTAGAACTGGAGAGAGAGTTCAGGGGTTAAAGAGCACTGGCTGCTCTTGCAGAGGACCTGGACTTGATTCCCATCACCCACATCGTGAGTTAAAATCATCCCTAACTCCAGTTCCAAGGGATCTTCAGCCCTCTCCTAACTTCTTGGGCACCACAGACCAAGAATATATGTGTTGTACAGACATATATGCAGTCAAAACATTCATATGCATAAAATAAAATAAACCGTTTGTTTTTTTTTTAAATACAGCAGCTATACAAGTCAACAAAGCAAACTCTGTTCTCTTGGAACTAAGAGTAAAACAGCTTTACTCTTTATCTGCTTTAAAACATGAAATGTGCAGCAAGGTGTTCATAAGGTGAGAAGATCAACCTTGCCTACACAGAATGTCAACCTAAGTCAGAGCCAGACAATGGGAACTAGACTTTAAACTCTTTCAGCTTCTTCTGTCAAGGTAATTTAAACTTGCCATACCATGGCCAACATCTGCCAGTAGGGGATATGGAAGAGAACACCTTCAAATTACTTATCTTGAAGATTAAAAAAATAATAATAATAACATAAGTCCAACTGCAACCATTTTAAAGGCCAATGTTATGCTATGTGGAAGTTGATGTTGTCAGAATTCTAAAACTGTGTCTTAGTCTAAACTCTAAGACACACAGTTCTCATAGATCTACAGTCTTCCTACATAAAGACAAGAAAAGTGGCCAAACAATACAAGCAACCACTACAAAACATTGAACTTACTTGATAGAACATACCACTTCCATAAATTTCACCATAAGAAAACTAGAAAGTGGCCAGTGGTGCATGCCTTTAATCCCAGCACTCGGGAGCCAGAGCCAGGCGGATCTCTGTGAGTTCGAGGCCAGTCTGGTCTACAGACCAAGATTCAGGACAGGCACCAAAACTACACAGAGAAACCCTGTCTCGAAAAACCAAGAAAAAAAAGAAAGAAAAAAAAAGACAACTAGAAGGTTACTGCAAAAATTAGTTCAGTTTTATAAAAGTTATTTCAAAATTGTGCCTACCTCAATGTTTTACACATTATTCAACAGGAATATTTGATAAATAACTACTTATAACCAGATAAGGAAGAGGTCATTAAAACAACTTCAAAAGACTGAGACTAAGATATTATCTACTGGAGAAAAGAAAACAGTACAGGACCTTCTGTTTGTGACAAAATTATAGAATTAATGTTCCTGAAAGATCACTTTACCTTTTAAAGCATGATTTTGTAAAAGGTAAAATTTATAGCAATTAAAGCTAATGAAGAAATGCAGCATACCCTGCTTATGTTCAGGAACTAATGGGTCCACTGAGCATTTGTGAGATTATTTAGCCATCAGTGATAATGAATTGACACTGTCAGCAATGTTAATGCACCCATATTCTCCAGTGTCAGTAATAAGAACCAGTCCCTGCTTTTGTTTTGTTTTCCATTTAAACTTTTATGTTACTCTCCTATACCTAACACATGAGACAAAGATACCCCCAAACTTAACACATGAAACACAGAACCAAAGATACCCCCATACCTAACATATGAAACTCAGAACCACCAAAGACACCCCCATACCTAACACACGAAACACAGAACCACCAAAGATACCCCCATACCTAACATATGAAACTCAGAACCACCGAAGATATCCCCATACCTAACACACGAAACACAGACCCACCAAAGATACCCCCATACCTAACATATGAAACACAGACCCACCAAAGATACCCCCATACCTAACACACGAAACACAGACCCACCACAGATACCCCCATACCTAACACACAAAACACAGACCCACCACAGATACCCCCATACCTAACACACAAAACACAGACCCACCACAGATACCCCCCTACCTAACACACGAAACTCAGACCCACCAAAGATACCCCTTCCTGAATATTCAATTCCTAGTTCATTACTGTTCTATTCGACCTCACTGTTCAATCCTCCTTAGCTCACTGACCTTCAGAGCTTTTGGCTTCCCTTTAAGGCTATCTACCTGCTATAATTACTGTATGTGACTTTTAAACTGAACTTATTTTTAAAAAGAAAGAGAACTATAATTTCACAGGGGGTGAAGTTTAAAGGCTACCCTATTTTTCAAATCTAAATACTGAAATCTAGAATGTTTTATCCACATACCCTACATGTTGTTGCTTTCTGTGGCAAACCTAAGATTCAAAAAATTAATATTTACTTATATTCTATAGCCTGGTGATCAGCACATGAACTACTAGCGCAACATTTCCTCTACAGTAAGCAATCAGCTAAGGAAAAGCACAGTGTTCAAATTATACATTTAGAGCCAATAAATTATAAAATGTTTCTGACACTATGTATGCAAAATAGGATTCTTTGAAAAAGTTTTTTTTCCCCGCTTTCCAGTATCTTAGTACCCTAAATTTTAAAAATGGATAAAAATTAGATTTCAACTAATCAAATGTGTAAAAACTATTTAGTTATTTTTCACAAATGGGGAAGAAACTGCTTACTGCTTCCAAATGTACATTTTCACTGGATCATCTCCTACAACTCAGACAATAAAAACAGGAAATGAGATGTCTTTTAAAATCAAAAGCCCTATAGAAATTAAAATGAACCACGTGGGACTTGCACAGCTCAACGCAGTAGTAACAGAACTCATTCTCCAACTGCTCACGAGTAGCTTCAGGGCAAAGGTCCATCTTCATTTACTTTAGCTGCAAGTCACTGAACCATCCATTTGGCCAACGAATAAATCACAGACCATGGTTGATAAAATTGCTTGCAAAGTTATTTGTAAAACTATCTTACAGGTCAAAAAATGAAATTGTATCATGGGAAAATGTATTGTCCAATAAAAAGTAGAACTGCTCCTGACTTAAAGGATATTTACATGGTCATGTAAACCTGAAGAGCATTCTACATAAGCATAATATATGCATACTGCATAATTTAATTGGACCTATGAATTGCAGATTTCTTAAGTTTTATATAAAGTATTTTATATGATGTACTTATTAGTTAATTTCTCTAGCATAATAACATTAAAATATATTTTAATAAGTAGAGCATTAAAATCCACCTCTGAATGTCCTATGATACACCATATATGTCATAGCATTTTAAAACCTTTTAAACATTTCTGCTAAATTAATTAGTTCTACATTAAGGCACCTCAGTGCTTTCTATTAAATGTAACATACCTCAATGACAATTAAACACTATGAATGACTCTACAAAGAACCATGAATTGAAAAAAGAAACTAGTTTTGAAATCACACGACACAAAAATACATTATACACTGTTTTTACCACATCATCCCTCAAATGATCAGAAACCAGGCATCTGAAATTAAATCTTTTGTTTTTCCTTATAGACTATGTCCAATTGATCCAAAGAGCCATTAATGTGATTAAAATTAAGGCAGTATAGCAGAAGAAAAAAAAATACATATGCACTCCTAAAGCTATATTATCTGGGGGGGATTTTTGTCTTTAAATGGAATTTATAGTTCTCTCTGGCAATGTGAATGAACATCCTATAATTTAGTCAATTTACAGATTACAGGTTCAAATTGACCTTGTAGCCCATAAAATTGCTCATCTTCAGCACAGGATTAGGAGTGGGAGAAGAATGTCATAACTGTATTTAAGGAATTTACCATAACAAAGGAAAGGAGGATACGCACGCATAATTTTCGCCACTCTTACTCATATCAGTTTTGAATTCTCAAACAATAGATATCCTGCACACAGCTCCTGGTTCACACAGCAGAGGTGGCTTCAATTTACTCACCCACAGACGTGACACTTGTACTCCCTCATCCCAAGGTGCCTTTTCACATGATTTCTGGCATCTCCAAGCTGAGCTGTTGCAAAATGGCATATCTTGCACTTGAATGGTTTTGAGCCTGAGTAAATTTAACATAAAATAAGATTTGGGCTTGAATAACATATTACTAATAGACTTTTAAATGGGGGGTAGAGGTGGGTAATAAACTACATCTTAAGTTAAACCTTCAATCTAATTAAGAATTTCATCCCCAAAACAGAATGCATGCATTCATTTATAACTTTCTTGATCCCATAATTTCCTCACCTAGAAGATTTTAATGTTTTAGTGAATACTGCCAATTCTCAACAACATTTGTAACAAGATTTAAAGTCAAAAGTTGAGTGCCACTAAGCAGCTTAAATGAGCTAAATAATGTTAAAATTTCTCATAAAACTGACAAAAATATTTCTTGAAGGTATTCTATTTAAAAATGGAACATTTTAAAAACACAAATACAAACAAGGTCACTGATATCTACAAAGTGTACTATTGAGTATATTTTTCAGTGCCCATCCAATTTCCTCAGGTTTCTCCAGGTCTGAATTTATTTGCACAAACCACAGTAGTAGAGATGTTCTGCCATTGACCTCAATGAGGTGCTTTATTTTACTAACATCTTCACAAACATATGACTGAATAGCACACAACTGCTTCCGGAATCATTTCATTTCTGGGATGAATCAGCAAACCACAAGTGTCAACATCTTGGTTACTGAGTTCACTAACAAATATTTCAACACGAGAGGCTCAGTAACAACAAGAAAAATGTTTTAATTACTTAATATGGAGCAAGATTAAACTATACTCCAAAACAAGAAAATTAACCCTTTCAGTCAATAGCATCACTTGAGTGGCAGGGAAGGCACCTTCATTAAACAGAAATAACAATCTCTTAAGGAAGAAGATATGTACAAACTGTCTCCCAGTTTTCTTACTACATCTTGAAATACATGGAAATAAAAAAGACCGCAGCTTAAAATCATCACGCTTCCAGACTTTCCATGTCATGATTAGTATCTATTTTGTGAAATAACTCTTCCAATGTGGTTAGAGTATGAAATCTGTAAATTTCAAAAATTATAAAATAGAAATAAAAAATTGCAGTCATCTTCAATCAATGAACCTTTGTGCAGTCCTGGAAAAATAAAATCCTCCAAGGGGAAAAAAATGTTTGAAACTAAAGCACTCAAGAAAAATTAGGCTCTTAAAGTTCAACTTAATTCTCAAAAGGTAACTGCAAAAGTGAAGCATTTAATTTTAACTTTCCAACAGAAATTTAAAAAAGAAAAAAGGGAAAAAAAAGTTAACAGTACTGCATGGCAGACAAGGCTGAATATTTCACTACCCAATGAGAATGAAGTGAATTTCTTAATACTTCAAACTTCCGTGGTTAGAAGTAGATGTAAAATGTATCTAACACCTGAATGGTTCTATCTAGTTAAGATTTTTATGTTTAAATAGCAAAAGCAGGTTGAGATTTCAGCTTACAGCAATCACATTCTATCGATCATTTTGGAAACTAGTTTATTTAAATAATCCTGATAAAATTAAGCCTATCATGACTTTGAAACATCATATGAATGATAGACTCCCAAGAGGATCAATCCATCCGTTGCTTTAAGTAAAAATGCTTTTCAAGGACAATTTGGAAATTATTAATAAACAACAGTATCAGAACCTCAAATTCAAAGGATAAAACTCCCCCAACATTTATCTGCACGATGATCTGGAGAAACAGATAAAAAGCCCTGGTGGCTTCACTCAGCCTGAGTTCTGGCCAGCCCCGCTCAGACAACACTAAGACCACCACGGATGGAACAGAAGCAGCTGTGGTTTTAGTCGGCAGCGGCAGCGAGGAAGTCCTTCCCAAAGTCTCAGGGCTCCCCAGTGCAGGGTAGGGACCCCATACACGCCAGTGCAGGGTAGGGACCCCATACGCACCAGTGCAGGGTAGGGACCCCATACATGCCAGTGCAGTGTAGGGATCCCATACACACCAGTGCAGTGTAGGGACCCCATACACACCAGTGCAGGGTAGGGACCCCATACACGCCAGTGCAGGGTAGGGATCCCGTACATGCCAGTGCAGTGTAGGGACCCCATATGCACCAGTGCAGGGTAGGGATCCATACACGCCAGTGCAGGGTAGGGACCCCATACACACCAGTGCAGGGTAGGAACCCATACACACCAGTGCAGGGTAGGGACCCATACGCACCAGTGCAGTGAAGGGACCCCATACACACCAGTGCAGTGTAGGGACCCCATACACACCAGTGCAGTGTAGGGACCCCATATGCACCAGTGCAGTGAAGGGACCCATACAAATCAGGGATTCCGTTAACTGCTCCACCTAGAAAGTCAGGGGGGCCTTGGCTCACAGCTAGCATTCAGGGTAGGCTGTGTGAGTGTCTCCTTCCTATGTCATTAGCATTCCAGAATCAGATGAGGAAATCCTCTCTGTAAGAGAAGGAAGTCTTTCCTTTTACTTCACTTCCTTAGAGATATTTCTTTTTTTACAGTTGCTATACAATACACATTATGAAATGGATCCAGGCATATGTTTATAACATAAAACCTGTAAAATCACATATTTCTAAATTTGACTTTCTCTCAGATGTATTTTAGTATTAAAAGCGTCCAGAATTACCTTAAATAAATCTATTCCTTGGAGTAGCTTTATCCTCAGAAGCTTTTCCTTTTATTTTAATTTGGTCTGTAGGATTTTATGAAGGGAGAAAAAAACTAAAGTGGCCCTAACTTTCTGGTGCCTGATTATTTATTAAACAAATCCCAAAGACCTGAAAACTCAGTGTGCCCTCAGACCTAAAAGGTCATGCCTCTGCTTCACTCTTACTGCTGTGCATACACAGATGTCGCATTAACATTCAGAGGGAAGGACAGGATCCTTCAGATCTCAGAGAGGGGAGAAGTAATGCAGACGCATGTATATCATGCCATGCTTGCTGACTGTAGTCTAAACCCCGAAGTGTTTCCTAAGCATCTGAATACTTCATTCATTCATTCGCCCATTCACTTACCCATCCAACAAATTACATTGAATGAAGTATGTACAGAGGAAGAAGTGAATGAATTCAGTCCCTTCCCACTGTGCTCAATCTACAGAGTAACTGTCTTGGTGATCTGTATGGTCTCTAAACTGTTACAGAGTTACAGACACCCAGCACTAACTTGGAACTTTCAGTGAAGTCACACACCATATATACCCACATAGGAACATTTTCAAAGGGCGTAAGTGACCAGAGTACTATGAACACAAACAGAATGGCTTCCCAATATCTTCACGACATCTCCCATGTCCTGTGACATAAAAGCTTTAGAAGAATACTGCACAAGAGATAACCCCTGCTCCATGAGCTCTTCTAATGAAACAGGGAAGACTCTGCTAATCAAGTGCTTCACACCACAAATGCACAAGAACTGAGATGCTTTCTTCCTACAATTTCTGATAATCAAAACTCATTTCTTCAGAATGCTGCTTTTATTATGTTAAGAATAATTAGAACAGGTTACAATAAAACATACAGCAAATTCCAAATATGGAAATGAATTGGAAGAGCAAGCCCTTTTCCAGCTATGCCCTGTATTACTCCTTCATAGATAAAAGCAAAGTACCAGAAAGTCATCCATTTTAAGATATTCCAAGAAGAAAATAACATGAAATTAAAACCTGAAGACCAACTTCCCCCAAAAAGTGACTTGCAAAACTGACATGGTGGGCTGGTACTCCATACTCAGGAAGGGATGCTCTGCAGTGCTTCACAGCACTATAAAAATGTGCTTCCTGATAACACCAACAGAAGATCCAAGAAAAAAAAAGTATGCTAACTTTTACTAAATGTTACAATCAATGATGTAACTTATATAAGTAGGGTTACTCTGTCACATATTGATAGTTACCTCACTTTCACATCCACATTAACTTGATTTTAAATGCAATTAATATATATAGTCAAGGAAGACTAATGGACTACATTCTGCACTTAACCTGGTAGACATTTTCAAATGGCACAAGTGACCAGTGCAAACCTATTTTGCATTGTAAACGACTAAATAAATCTTAATGGATTAAGAATGATCAGCTATCAACACACAAGGGAAATTAAGTGCTGAAATGCCTACATTGATTATTTTAAATTATTAGCCTTACTCTGTTCTTGAATTTGTATGCTTTTAGTGAGCTTTAACACATTTACAAGACTTATTGACTATAATTACAAGAGAATTCAAGTAATGGACACATCAATTATAAGCAACATGTCTTGACCAGACAGTTGCATAAAGAATTCTAAAAAGAGCTCCATTAGCATCTTCCTCTTAGTTTTATTCAGCTTTATCTGACTTAAGAGGGCATGTTAAGAAAACACATATTTTCCATGCATAAGAACAGCCTGGTATCTAATATCATGTCATTTCAGGATGTGAGAAGCAACAACTGAGGTACCAATAATGCAAACAAATAAGCACGTCAACATCCTCCAGAAATGGCTCCACAGCATGTAGCTCATGGAGAGCAGGTCCACACAGGGCCTGTGGTATTTATATTTACCTCAACTAATCTCCTGTTACTTTCTTTAAGGGAAATGTTTGATCTATCTTTAATCAACCTCAATTACTAATAATGCTCTATATCTTTCTCCGTGTAACCATGCACTAAGTTTCAAAAACTGCAGGAATTTAAAGTATAGATTTAATAATATGCCATTATTTAAAAGTACAGTAAAATAAACCTTACCGTTTTAATGAAAATATGTTCATTGAAATGTGAATTTATTATTCAAATCCACTCATAAATTCAACCATGTAGACAGAACCTGTCTAAGCAGAGCACAATGATTTAGAAAAGCTGTCTATTTAAAATAAAGAATGTATGGCAGGGTTACAGAAACACTGCAGTGAATTTTTACATAAATTTACAACAGTGCCTTATGCATTTTTCACCAAATATATATATTTTTAAAAATTTCTCCACAAACTAAACATTAACATGAAATGTTCAATGTGTCAGAATATAGACCCTAAATCAGGTACTACCTCAATGAAAACCAAACTCCAATGCATAGTGAGGGAACCATGTTCACAAACTCTGGTCCTTGAAAGAAGAATCTTACTGCTGGGTGCCACACTTGTAGATACAAACTATCTGTTGATGAATATTTTTTAAATTTCTAATATCTTAAGAATTTTATTAAGGGCAAGAGACATGGCTCAGCAGTTATGTCTCTTATGATCACAGGCTTAGAGTCCCATGGGATCTAATGCCCTCTTCTGGCTTCCATGGGCACTGCATGCATTCGGTACACAGACATACATGCAGGCAAAGCACATAAAAAAATAAAGGTAGAGGGGGAGGAAGGACTGTAGGAGCCAGAGGGGTCAAGAACACCACAAGAAAATGGCCCACAGAATCAACTAATCTGGGCTCACAGGGGCTCACAGAGACTGAACTGACAATTAGGGAGCCTACATGCGTCTGACCTAGGTCCTCTGCATATGTTATGGTTGTGTAGCTTGGTCTTCTTGTAGGACTCCTAACAGTTGGGGGGGCTCTCTGACTCTTTTGCTTGCTTGTGGTACTTTTCCTCATCCAGCCTTAATACTAGGGGAAATGCCTAGTCTTATTGCAACTTAATATGCCATGTTTGATTGATATACCTGGGAGGCTTGCCCTTTTCTGAAGGGAAAGGAGGAGTAGATCTGGGGAGAGGGGAGGTTGGGGCAAGAAATGGGAGGACAGGACGGAGGAGAAACTGCACTCAAGATGTAATACATGAGAGAAGAAGAAGAAAAGAAACAAATTTGAGGGCGTGGTGGCACACACCTTTAATTCCAACACTTGGGAAGCAGAAGCAGGAGGATCTATGTGAGGTAGAGAACAGCCAAGGCTACATAGTGAGTTTCAGGACAGCCAGGGCTACACAATGAGGCCCTGTCTCAAAACATAAGAATTTTATTAAAGGCTAAAAGCTACTTAATATGCTCTCCAAAAACCATAAAGTGTCGTTTACTGTAACTTTGGAAAACCAAAAAATTAGGACAAAACAAATGAAAAGCAGTAAAACACAGGGGCTTTGCAAAGGCATCAGATGGTGCTTTGACAAAAGTGAAAGAAATTTGTCCACTAATCTGCCTTTAGACTCTCTAAGACTGGGGTTGGGGATTTAGCTCAGTGGTAGAGCACTTGCCTAGCAAGTGCAAGGCCCTGGGTTCGGTCCTCAGCTCTGAAAAAAAAAAAAAAAAAGCAGCCCTAGACTCTCTAAGACTAAATTGCCTCTGGAAACGTTAAATGTCGACACTTATTAGACACAAGCAAAGCATCACATAAACATGAAATATTAATTAGGTGGAAGGCCCACAAGCAAATTCAAATGGGGTTCCATACCTGGTTGGGACCCAAAGTCATTCTTTCACACTTCATAGGAAAACACAGGCTTGCTACAAGGGTTACATACCTGTATGAGTCCGAATGTGAGCCAGAAAGGCCATGGAATTGCTACTCCGACACATCTTCCCACAGTATTTGCAGATATTCCCCTGGTTTTCTTCTCTCTCTCGATTGATTTGCTCAGTGTCTTCCACTATGTACTTATTTACCTCCCGTAGCAATTCCTCGTGCTGTCCTTTAATATGCAGAAATAAATTCTGTTCAGAATCAAAGGGCTCTGTACACTTGACACATTTGAAGGTGGCCCCTCCCTCTGGAAGCTCTTCTACACTGGCCTGTTCATTTCTCATATGACCAGCACTAGCCAAATGCTGATGAAGGTTGCTCTCAGTATAGAATGATTTTCCACAAAGTAAACAATGAAAGTGTTTCTCTTTTGTAGGATGCTTCATGGCTATGTGAACATTCAGTCCACTCAGTCCATCTGCTAAGAAACCACAATCATCACATCTGATTCGAGTGGACTCGCCAAAGGAACTGCCTTCAGCTCTCCTCTTCTTCAAGCCTTGGGCACAGTCTTTTAGAGGCAACTCACTAACTCTCACCCCTGTTGCCATCAGACCCTCTTCCGACTGATCTACCAATTCACTATCTTCAGAAGTTTTTATTCTAATTATGGAAGAATCAAACCGGCCAAAACTGTACATGGTTTGCCCTTTATCATCAATACTTATTATAGTTTCATACACATCATTGCTGTCAACTGTGTCATCAGAAGCTGGGCCATCCTCTTCCAAAACAATTTCAGTGTCGTGTTGTGAAGTCATCAGAATTTCCTTATTCTCGAGAACAGGGTTTGCTTGCACATCTTTCAAATCTTCTGAATTCTGTTCACATCCAGCTTTGTTCTGGCCACCACCATCCAGGTCCAGGTCCTCTCTTGATATTTTCAGCACAACAGGGGAAGTGGATTCAGGGGGGTGGTCCCCATCTAAGTCTCCAGAGCAGAGGGACTTGTCAAGGGCTTTCCCTCCACTGTCATCTGGACTGCCTCCCTCATCTTCACAGCGTGTACTTGAGTCACCAACATCATTCAATGTGCCCTGGCTTTTCTTTGCCGCCTCACAATCCGCAGCAGAGCTTCCTGGATTTTCATTTTGAAGACAGCCTGGGGAGCCATGATTAGAGGGCGTATTGAGGGACACTATCTCTCCAGGTTTCATATTTTTGTCCTTAACAAGGGACTGTTCCAAGGTCTCACAAAAGGAATGATCTTCCTCAGTCACAATTTCCACTGAGTCAGAAGCACAGAGCACCTTAGACATCTCTAAATTAGTATTCTCATCTAAAATAGAACCATCTGCAGCATTTCTAGATTTGAGAGTACCAGATGATTGGTCTGGTTTTATTTTAAATTCCTCGGGGTTTTGTGAATGTTCCTCCTCAGGTATAAGGATGCTTTTGGCCATATCTGAAGAAGCTGCTTCCACATTAGAAGAGTTGAGGTAAGACTGCCTTTTCATTTTATGCTTCTCTGTTGCAGCATGCCTAGTCATTTCTCTTCGAGTTACTGCATAGTAATCACAGGCCATACAATAAAACTCAAACTCTTTGGTGTGCTTCCTTTTCACATGTAGCTCTAGAGAAGCAGCAGAATGAGCACTGAACTCGCAGTGCAGACATTTATTGTCACTTGAACCTGCAACATCTCTCTGAGAGCATGCATCATTCTGTAGAAGGTCCTCTGTCTCTAGAGATATCTGTCCCTTTTTATCAGAGAGGCGACTGCTAACTTCTCTATCTACAGAATGAAATACATTTTCACCTTCAATTTCTACTGCATTTCCACAATTGACCACTGGCTTATCTAAAGGAGATGTATCTGACTCAGTGGACTTGTTAGCCTGTTGATCGGAAACAGTCACTGCTAAAGGGGTGTTCTTTTTACATGCTTCAAGATTACCTCCTTCTGGGCCAACAATTATATCTGAACTTTGTTTCCCATTTGCTTCTATTTCTACCCGTCCTTTATGTTTCTTGGTGGCACAATGACGTTCCATATCTCCTTTAGTTACAGTATAATACTTACATACCTTGCACAAATAACTGTACTGGTGACTGTGTTTACGCCTGATGTGCACAGTCAAATTTGTAATACTAGAGGCCAAAAGTCCACAGTGTGAACAAGTCCGTGAAATGCTGCCTTTGGGCCTCCCTCTCTTTGGAGTAGTGGCTAAGGCTAATTCATCATCTTTGGTGATGACACCAGACTGTGGCAGTTCCTTAGGAGTTAGCAAGCTCTGCTCACGATAGGAATGCTCCTGTAATCGTACACCAGCATGGCCTTCGGGCCTTCCACTTCCAGAAACACTAGACTCCTCTTTTTTATCATTTGCACCTATGCATACCCTTTCAATGCACTCTTCAAAACTTAAACCAATATTATTTTTCTTAGCATTTTCAAGATGTTTGCTTCTTTTAATGTGCTTCTCCATTCCCTCTTTGCTCAATGAATACAGATTACATGCTTTACAAAGAAAGTGATAGTCTTGCCCATGCCGAAGCTTTATGTGTCTTGTGAGAACAGTAGAAGACCTTGTTTTATAAAAACACTTCTTACACTGAAACTGAGGCTTACTTGAATGCCTTGCTTCACTTCCATGGCCTACCCTCGACTCAGCAAGATCCCCCTTAGCTGCTTTCCCTGATTCTTCTCTAGAATCTTCCATGTTTTCTGATTCTAAAGTACTTAAGGGTAAAACAGAATCACTGCTCAATGATGAAGCCGTCTTTGGTTGAACCACTAAGCTATTATGCATCTCAGTTGCTCTGTGCTCTTCTACATCTTTCTCAGACAAGAACAAATTACAAGAGGTGCAAAAAAAGCCCATGCTATGCTTTTCCTTCATGTGGTCTCTAAGACTCATTTCATTCAAGGAAATAAAGGAACAACACTGACAGCTGAGGACAGGAGCCATTTGCTGATGCTGATTACTGTGCAAGTGTTCCTCTAAGTCTTTCCTTGACGGACTAGAGAAGTTACAAGTCTGACAGTAAAACTGCATCTCTCTTGCACGGCACCTTTTCTCATGAATGTCCAAGTCTGTCTTGTCTGCAGTTATATGACCACACCCTGTACAGGTACACAGGACCTGGCGGTCAGAAGCTGGCTTTACTGGCAGGGAGCCCAGCTGTGTGGAGCCCGAAAGACAGGAAGCTGTCTTGTCCTGTATCACTTCTGGGTCGTCTGAGGTAGTCACACACAGACTCTGGACATCCTTGCTCATTTGTTCCATCATTGACTGTGCATCATTTGTTTTCATCTGTGTCCTAAAGTGTTTCATATACATCCTCTGAGTTTCATTTGTACCCCTTTTATTAATTCCTAGAAGATTAAACCTTTTCTTTGCCTGGCCCTTTAAAGTAAAAGTGCCACTTCGTCTTCGAAAGCTATTACCCAACATTAGGAGATTTCGCTCAGACCTTGGCCTCGAGGTGGTGCTGATACTGATATGTGCTATCTGGAGGGTATTTTTGATGGATTCTGATTTACCTAAAAGACCCTCTGAGCTCACTAAGCCCCCTAGCTGTTTGTTCTGATTTTCAGGATTTTGAGCTACACCAAAAGTAACATTTTCCTCAACAATTTCTTCTTTCCCTGATGAGGAATTCCTAGATGGCACCATTTCGACAAGCAGCTCACTACTACCACCACTATGTTCAGAAAGGGCTCCTCTGCAGTCTTTGAACTTGTTCCCAGGATTCTGCAGTCCTTTTGAATCCCCATTCCTTGCTATTGGTTTAGAAGCTCTTGGTTTTGTTCTAACATTCTTTGTTCCCATGGCACACGCTTTTTTAGGAAAAGGTTGTTTTGTTAAGATTTGTACAAATCCTCCACGAGCCGCAAGATTCTGACGCCGAAGGTGTGTTTTGCCAAGGTAATGTGCATTCAACAGGTCTTCTTCAGTACATTGGAAGCCACAGAGATCACAGGAAAAGATTTTCTGTGGCCCGTGAGTGTGTTTCACATGAACATGAGGAGATGAGCTGCTCTCTGCTCTGTGGCTACAGTGGCAACAGGCACATCCCTTCTCCTGTTCCCCATGACATTCCACATGCTTTTCCAAAGCTGAGCAAGAGGAAAATGAACGGCCACACATGCTGCACTTGAGGACGGTCTCTGCATTTCCAAAGCTACAACTAATACTCATTTCTTCTGGAGCAAAAGGGGTGTGTCTTTCCGGAACAAGGGAAACCATTTCCTGAGCAGGCTTTCTCACTGAATCTGTTTTCAAAGGAAGGGTATCCAGTGTGCTAAAATCACAAGATGGAGGAAAGCCACTAGGAAGGGCTCTGCCTCCATCTGAGTGGCTGGTTGAAAAGGTCTCCTTCCCTGCTTCAGTCAAATGGACACTAGCTTCCGCAGTGTCCAACCCACAGGTGCCCTGCTCTCCCGTCTCAAGGGGCTCCACTGCCTCTATTCTCATCCGCTTAGAAGCAAGTTCACTTCTGTCTTCCTCCACAGCAACACTGTCCGAGCTGGATGATTCTGAAAAAGCCCTTTTGCTCGTAAAATTCTCAGAGGCATTTGCTATCCCATCAGATACAGGCCCACAACTAGCAGCATGGGATGAAACACTTTTCTTGTCTGTTGCTTCCTCGTCCTCATCATTTTCATGTTTATTCTCAGAATCCATTCTTAATAAAGTTCTGGTGATGTTTCTTCTGTCAAAGTTGAATTTAACTAGAATTTATAATCTGTGAAATAAACAAACATGGCATTAAAGCTTTGAACATAAAGAAAATGCAAACCTCTTAGTCTGAACCTAAGCAAGAAAAACATAATGAAATTAAACTCAATGAAGTTTCTTCCATACTTGACCAAACTTGACCACATGTATAAAGTTCTTTTCATAAAACTGGCAGTCTTGCTGCGTGTAGTGGTTCAAACCTATAATCCTCTGAGGCTGGAACAGGATGATTGCCTTATGATCAAGGTCAATCAAGGTTACACAGTGACTACCAGGCCAAGCCTGGCTACAGAGTGAGCTTCTCATCTTAAAAAAATAAAAAAATAAAAAAAACATGTGATCAAACCTGAGGACCACTGTGACTCACAAACCTGTGGACCACTGTGACTCACAAAGCAATACTATGCATCTCTGTTGATGAGAAAAGGATACTCCCCAACAGCTTCCAAACTCCTCACATTTTACATCTGTCAAACACTAGATTTCAGGTGACTCCTTTTTAAACAGAGAAGCCTTTCTTTCAAATTATATTGTGGTGGATTCCCATTCTACAAAACAGATGTGAACAGAACCAGTGACGGGTCTGGAGGACTTGCCTTCTGTGTAGCCTCTAACAGGTACTAAATGCTGGTCCAAAAGCAACTACTTTGTCCCTTGTCCCTAAAGCAAAAGCCTTCCCCGACTGTTCTCAGTAGATCTCAATTAACACCATACATTCTCATCACAGATGACCACCACTCATGCTAAATCTTCTGCCAATGAAAAGCCACCCCTCCTCCAGGTGTGCATCAACTTCCCTACCTCACAGTCCGTTTTGTATTGTCTGAAGGTTAATGGCAAAGGTAAATGTCAGTGGTACAAAATTAATGGAGTAAGTTTTTTGGAGGGAGGGGAATTACCCTGAATAGAATGCCTTAAAAGTCAATATTATTGATTTTATTTTTCATTATGATAGTTAATTAAATTTACACATATCGTTTTCCATTTATTTTATACTATGATTGAAATTTTTAGTCAAATGTGATTTTATTTGAAGTTAATAAAAGTCATTAACAAATAATGACATAGCCCGGGCGGTGGTGGCGCACGCCTTTAATCCCAGCACTCGGGAGGCAGAGCCAGGCAGATCTCTGTGAGTTCGAGGCCAGCCTGGGCTACCAAGTGAGTTCCAGGAAAGGCACAAAGCTACACAGAGAAACCCTGTCTCGAAAAACCAAAAAAAAAAAATGACATTTTAAACTATTTAGCTACTTTTTCCATAAATGACAAATAAAAATGAAGCCTGTTACTTAAAAGTGGAGAACAAAAAATAATATGTAAGGCATGGAATCAAATATATAAATGATAGAAAAAAATTAGACTTTTATCAAAATTAAAAACTTCCAAGGACACTATGCTATAAAGGTCACCAATTAGAAATTGAAAAAAGAACCCTTGGAACAGGACTTTTTTTTTTAATTACATATCTGATAAGGCATTTGCTCCTAGACTATTCAAAAACACATTACAATAATTTCAAAATGAAGAAAAAATCTGATTATAAATTCCCCCATAGGAAATACAAAAATGGCCAACAGCACAAGAAATAAAAAAGTAAATAAATAAAAATAAAAACTCATACATCACTAGTCATTAGAGAATTGCAGTCATGTCACAATAGGATTCTGCTTTCTAGCTACTAGAATAAATGCAAATGAAAAATCAGATCACAGCAGAGCAGTCAACTGAGCCCACAAGTGGCATCAGGGAGACCAAGGCAGGACAGGTACCTGAGTCACACTGCAGAGTAATCAAGCCAGTCTGAGCAGCACAGCAGAACTTTGTCTTAAAAAAAAAAAAAAAAAAAAAAGGAAAGAAAGTAAAGGAAAGGTGTGGTGGTATTGTGTTCCCCAAAATATTGTGCACCCTAATAAACTTATCTGGGGTCAGAGAACTGAACAGCCACTAGATACAGAGGCTAGAAAATGGTGGCACTCATACCTTTAATCCTAGCATTCCAGAGGCAGAAATCCATCTGGATCTCTGTGAGTTCAAGGCCACATTGGAAACAGCCAGGCATGGTGACACACGCCTTTAACCCCAGAAAGTGAGCCTTCAATCCCAGGGAGTGATGGCAGAACGCAGAAAGGTATATAAGGCGTGAGGACCAGGAACTAGGCTGGTTAAGCATTCAGGCTTTCGAGAAGCAGTTCAGCTGAGAGCCATTTGTTTGATGAGACAGAGGCTTCCAGCTGAGGAACCAACTGGCGAGGTGAGGTGGCTGTGGCTGGTTCTGCTTCTCTGATGTTCCAGCATTCACCCCAATACCTGGCTCCAGGTTTGTTTATATTAAGACCTTTTAAGATTCATGCTACAGAAAGGAAAGGAAAGGGAGGGAGGGAGGGAGGGAGGGAGGGGAAAAGGAAAGGAAGAGGAGGGGAAAGGGAGGGGAATGGAAGGTGAGGGGAAAGGGAGGGGAAGAGAAGGGAAGGGGAAAGGGAGGGGGAGAGGAAGGAGAAGAGAAGGGAAGGGGAAAAGGGAAGGGAGGGGAGGGGAAGAGGAAAGGAAGGGAAGGGAAGGAGGAGGGGGAGAGAGAAAAGGAAGGGAAGGGAGGGGAGGGGGAAGGGAAGGGAGAAAAAAAGTGGAATCACAACAAATGTTAGTGAGGCTATGGAGCAACAGAACCTTCCCGCAGCTAATAGGAGTTGAAGCAAAAAAAAGCAGCTCAGGTATCCAGAGGATGCCTCCCAGATATCATTATCAAGATACAAGCTCCAGAGCAGGCAGAATGGCTCAGCAGTTAAAAGCACTTAGCCCCAAGTCTGAGTGCTTAATTCCAATTCACCCTGCAAAGCTGTCCCTCTGACCTCCAGAGGCCATGACACACATGTGCACACACACACAAGTACTGTTAAAAATTGGGGGATGAGAGAAGACAGAGCTCTGGAGTTGGGGATACGGTTTAGTGGTATTGTTCACCTGGATTGCAAAAGGCACTAGACTCAATCCCTAGTACTGTCAAAAGAAATGTATATAAGACACAGAGCTCTGTCCCTAAATGTTCTCTAAAGATGTCTCCTGCATGCCCCTTTGCAGTCCATTCCCAGAAGCACACCCCCTCACTCCTCATCACACCATACCACATACCCAACCACAGTTTAGAATTCTTCCACAGTGAATAGACAAGTCTGTTCTAGAAGTTCCAATAAGTAGACTCATATAACAAGGATTGGCGGGAAGAGGGGTCTGGCTGCAGCTCAGCAAGGTGTTTTGGGTTGCACATGTCAGTACAATATCCCACTGAACTGTTGAGTATGATAAACTACACAGATACAACAGAACTCTGCTGATGGACATCTGAGCTATTTCTTTTTGTTGCTATTATGATAAAAATGCTATGAGTATTCTTATATAAGTCTTTTCATAAATACATTTTTCATTTCTTTTAAGTAAATACCTAGGGCAGATCTAACTTTATGAGAAACTGCTTGACTGATTTTCAAAGCAGTTGTACTATTCAAACTGCCACCTGCCATGCACAGGATCCCAAGAGCATATGTCCATTTTTTAAATACTAGTCATGCTAGTGGATGTATGTGCTTTTAATCTGCATTCCCTTGAAGACAGTGACGGCTTATGTGCTTTGTTAGCCTTTTGCTCATTTCTTACCTTGGTTCTTTGTTTTCTTTATTGAGTTGTAGAAGTTGCACATGGATCCCAAATACGAAATCCTCTGTCAGATATGTTTTATAATACTTTTTCCTTTTTCATTTTATTAATGATATTTTGTATAAAAAGCTTTAAACTTTAATGAAACCAATGCCCTTCCTATTCCTCTTACGGTAATTTGTGTATGTGATTATTTTCTGTTTCTCCATGCTTGAATATAAACCATGGTTTATTTTATTCATCCACATATCCTAAGGGTCTACAACATTTCCAGGCACTTACATAGTATTAAAATAAATAAATGTTGGCCGGGCGTAGTGACGCACACCTTTGATCCTAGTACTTGAAAGGCAGAGGCAGGCGGACCTCTTGAGTTCAAGGCCAACCTGGCCTACATAGTGAATTCCAGGACAGTCAGAGCTATGGAGTGAGATCTTGTCACAGACAGAAAGACAGACAGACAAAAAACATGAATGCCTGTCACATAAGGAAAGTCTCGGGAGGCAGAACCAGGTGGATCTCTGTGAGTTCGAGCACAGATCCAGGACAGGCACCAAAGCTACACAGTGAAACTCTGTCTTGAAAAACCAAAAAATAGTAATAAATAAAAAAAAGAAAAGTCTCACATCCAAGTATTTACAAATGAAACAAAAAATGTCTACGATGTACTTCAAACATGTCCAGGTGAGGCATATGAAGCAAACTGCTAATAGTTATTTAAAAGTGAGTAAAAAGCAGACACAGATTCACTGTATCATTCTATCAACTTTTTCACTTGTTTATAGAACAAAATGTTTAACTTTATTTAAAAAAAAAAAAAACCTACTAGCCAGGCGGTGGTGGCACACACCTTTAATCTCAGCACTTGGGAGGCAGAGGCAGGTGAATCTCTGTGAGTTAGAGGCCAACCTGGTCTACAAAGTGAGTTCCAAGACAGGCTCCAAAAGCTACACAGAAAAACCCTGTCTTGAAAAACCAAAAAAAGAAAGAAAAAAAGAAAAAGAAAAACTACTTGACTGTTTGAACTGCTCTGCACGGCCACCAATCATGTATAATAACTCTGGCACATGCACATGCTTCCCAAGAGACAATGTCAGTCTTGTCTTTATTTAAAGCATGCAATAAAGGTTCAGTTTTAAAATCTAAAGGGGTTGGGAGGCAGTTCACTGGGTAAAGTCCTTGTTCACAGCATGAGGATTCCAGTCCAAATCCCAAAACACAGAGAAAAGCCAGGCATGTATAACCCAACTCCTGCAGAGGGGGCGGGCCCTGGCCAGTCAGTCTTGCCAAAATGAGGTGCTCCCGGTTCAATGAAAGATTGTCTCAAAATAAGGTGGACAGTAACAGAAGACACCTGAT